TGAAAATTTATTTCTAACTTTTAAATATAAATGGTCTTAGAAAAAACTCTGTTATACAGTTTAGAAGTAGATACCAAATGTTTTCATTTTTCTTCTATTGAAATAGAACAATTAAATAACAAACTAGTTTTGTTTCTATTTGTTTTATTAGTACCTGGGACCAGTGGTGAAGTAGACTATGGGGTTTAGTCTGCACTAACTACCCATGGGGACAAGGGCTCAGACATTCTCAAAAGGAAAAATAATATGTTCAAAGTTGATAATGACAATTCTAGAAAATTAGTATTGCAAAGGGGATTATTATGAAAATATGAATAAAAATATCAACATATGGTGGCACATGTGTTTAATCCCAGCACACCGGAGACAGAGGTAGGTGGATCTATGTGAGTTCAAAGCCAGCCTGGTCTACATAGTGAGATCCAGGACAGCTGAGGCTACAGGGAGACCCTGTCTCTAAAAGACCAAAAAAGAAAAAAAAAAAACAAAAAAAAACAAAAAACCTGAATGAGTAAAGCTATTTGCCATGATTCCCCGTGGGATAGAATTTTCATGGTATCTTCAAATGTCGGTTGGAATTTGAAGGAGTACGTCTCAAACTAATTGGTAGAGATAAAATTTGAATTGTTGTAAGCTACTGTGTTTGGGATTTCCAGGCAAGGTGGGATGGTTTCCTGCAGTCAGGCTAGTATGTTTGGTAAATTTATTTAAATGGATCAAATTTCAAACAATCAAACTTAAGTCATAGTACGACTTTTCTCTAACCATGTTTTGAAAATATTCCATCAAAGTATGTGTTTAAAAACTTTTCAATTTGCTAACAAACTATAATAAAAACTCTAATAGATTTATTTATGTAAGTCATTTATTTGTGTAAAATATACAATAAGGCAATCAGAAAAATGGTTCACTCTAAGAGATGATTAAAATAAATGGAAACTATCTCTTTATAGGAGGAAAAAATAAACTTCACATTACTTACTCATGCATAAGGGGTCTGATGACAGTGCCCCCATGAGCGTGGTTTTCATACATTTGTGTGTAGAAATAGGGCAATAAGGTATATCTGATATTTAGAATTTCCTTTGACATTTGAGCAAATGTTTCATTCCAGGAAACAGGATCTTGTCTCTGAAACAAAATAAATTTAAGTAGTCATAAGTCATTATTTAAATCAGAATATGCAAATACATATTTGGAGAATAAAATGTAAGTTCTAAGCAACCTCGAGTGTTCACAAAATCTTAATGCTGTAATATTTCTATTTCATGTGATAAGGTGCTACATGCTAATATTTTTTAAAAAATAAAGCAAATTGAGTGCAAGGCTTGGTTTGGTGCAGGCAAACATATGTAAATCATAGTTCATATTTTAATAGATGATAAATTAATTGTCAGCTTTGGTCATACTGTGTTGAAGTGGGAATTCAAAGAAGGAAATCACATGGCATGCTAGACAAAAGTAGATAGAAACAACAGAAGACATGCAGAGCTTACCATGGCAACCACACACACTGTGTGTCCTCGTGAGAGATGAATGGATTACAGTATAAAGACTGAACACAACAAAAGGGGTAGGTGGCCTAATAAATGCATATATTTGAGTCTGCGTTGAAATACAACCTCAAGTTAAAATCATACTGATGCACAGTATCAAGAATCTATAAAAATATTGTTTTCCATATTTGTAACCTATAAGGGAGGGCAATTACTGCTTTATGACACCAACCATACTACCATACAATTCCAAAGGTCATGGCTCTCAATTTTGTTGACAATATCATTACTGGGCCCTTTTAGAGCTATGCTGTTTACGAAGAATCCAACGTTACTGTATTTGGGGAATAGGAAAGTTTGAATGATGACTGTGTGTTATCATTGGTAGATTTAGTGTTAGAATAAGCAAGACCTTGAAAGTAATGTGGCCTGACCATTAAGTTATGCACAGGATTGTACATAATAAATGTTAACATGCATTAATAGATAACATATGCTAATACTTTTGTGGTCAAGTACAAAAAGAGACAAATATACGAACTTGTCAGCTTCTCTAGTTTCCATTTTTGTTCAGCTAATACATTAGTATTTATTTCTAAATCATATACTTCTAAGTTTAATTATATTAACTCATAACAATGTGAGATTTCTGTTTTGGAGGACTTTATTTTGGGATATTTCTTTCATCTGTTTCTTCTCTATTTTATCTACTCTCTAAAACTCCACCCATGTTAACATATCAAGGACTTTCAGATAGTCCTTCTGTTAGGTTCCTGGCTGGCTCCTAAACTGGTTGAGCAGCTCCCACAATTCTAAAATGGCAGGTTCAAACTTAGCCCCAGGCAAGTCTGTCTGCTTACTGGCAGACCAACAATCCTGAGCTAAACTGCCCAGCCTACTTCATGGACAGCTACCCAACTATCTAATTGCCTGTGAAAGATATCTGATTGCCCTGCTTGTTGCTGCTTCTCTGCTCCCCTAGAGAGGCAGCCCAACATTCTGTTTGCTCTCAAATAAACTCCTGGCCCCCATGGAGTTTTCTGGTTGGTGGTCTTTGCTGCCAGCTTCCGTACACCCTATACTTGATATTTTCCTCCTCCAGATATTTTTATTTTATCCCCACTGAAATCTTTGCTCAAATGTCACCTCGTCAAAGACATCAGGGAACCACCACTTAGAACCAGAAGCTCTGGGGGTCTTTCAACTTCAATTTCCCTTTTTGTCATTTAATTATATGTAACAAATTTTAAGTATTATTATGAGATTTTACTCTATGTCACTTTAAAACATAATGAATCATTAATATAAGTACTCTATTTACAGATACATTTCAACAAGTTACAAAATAAATCCTTACCTAGGTTTTTATTAATTCATGCCCTATTCCTCCAGCATAACAGCCTTCTTTTTGATAACAAGTTTTCCTATTAAAATTTTCTTATTTCTTCAAAATATGTCTCTATAGTTTGCATGTTTTTCAAAATGCTTCAAAGTGTGATCCTATCTTGACTTTTATTCTTGTAGTTTGGTGTTTTGAATATTAAATGTACCTTGACAATTTTAAGTTAAATTTACATGTTCCTAAGATTTCACAACACAGCATGAGCTCTGTCAATTAGTGACTGTGACCAGACTGTGTCTTCAAGGCTCCATCTAGCCTTTCACTGACACAATTTCTGTGAATTCAACTTTTCTCAGCAATATTAACTGAAAGTCAGTATCAAAAAATCAGTGCTTAGTAAAAATTGCCTCTAATTCTTGATAATCCTCCATGAAATTTAGTATTGTTTCATATATCATTTAGATATTTCATGCAAATAATTCAACAAATTCTATGCTGTTCCATTGCACAGAAGCCTGTTTCTATAATTTATGTCAGTTTTTCTTCTTTCTCAATTATCAATTTACTTAAAATATTTGCTTTAAATCTCTGTATTTCATTCATTATTATAAATACTCTCACTTTCAATCATTTAGTTTCAAACTGAATTTTGTTCTTGTTGTGTGTCCAAGTATGAAATAAGTACTACAGCCATATATTTTTCCCTCTAACTCTTCCAAAATCTTTGTGAGCTGCTAAAGCAAGTGCGTATGGTCACTAAGCCATTCGCCCTGGGTATACTTCAAGTCATAAAACTCCTAAAAAGATGGGCTAAGTGGTAGCTTAGAAATATGAATATGAACAAGAGCAAAACATTCATTTGGAAATCTGCCAAGGAGAATATAATTGATTAACAACAATGAAGATTACACAGGTTTCTTAGGGTCAGAAAAGAAAAGTCAGTGTAATAATTACGTACTATAGTAAATTGAATGTTATGATTTCTCGAATATGGATAAAATGCTCCAAGTTGCATCCAACGGGCACAGAGTTGATATTCTGAGTTGTTGAAAAAACCACAGATGTCGGCTCCAACCTTAAAGATATTGTTATATTTAATGAATTTTGAGTAGTGTATTTCTTAATATTTATAGCTTACAAATACTGAAGGAATAGATCTACTTACATATGACATTCCGAAGAGATTAAATTCCAACATTCCTAAAAAATTGGAACAAAAATTTTAGAAAATTGTTTTTTTCATATATTTTAATATTTTACTTTTATTAATGATGATGCTTTCTGTAATATCAGTTTTTAGTCAATAGAACATTTTGAAATTGTTTATCTTCTCTTGTTTATAATACTTATAATTACAGTTTTGCTTTGTACAGTCAATAATATTCATAAATATAAGACACATATGCTTTAAGACAGCAGTTGCACTATAACCTAATTAGAGCATATATGTATGATAAACACATCATAGTGTCATAAGACAGACATAGTGTTTTCCTTACATTTCTTTTTCAAAATAAGCATGTTTTTTCTGCAATTATTTAACCATATGTCTTAGAACATAAAACAAATGCAATTACTCTTGTTAAATAATATACTTTGAGAAATGATCACTTCATTAAAATAGAATACCCAGTTCTTTTATAAAGGAATATTTCTAAGCATTGTTTTATTGGTGTGTATCATTAGTGGATATTATTAATTCTAGAAACAAACAGAAAATTGTATCTGCTTTGAAAAGATGAATCGGTTTTCTAACTATGTATTTAGTATTAAAAAACTCTTCCTTCAGATGGATATGTTTCATTGTTTAGCATCTCTCAGAAATTCTTATTTCCTAGCAGATAATGTCTAACCATTCTTTCTCAGCATTAGAGATTATCTCCCTGAGCTCTTGTTGAGCAGGAAATGAGGACAAAAAGGGTTATTTATCCACATAAACTAGCTGACTGTCATTAGTCACTTGTCACTTTGCAGGATTCCTGTTCATGCTTTCCAGACTGGAGCCTTTTCATGACATTCTGCATCAGAAAAATGATACCAATGCCTTCATTCTCACAACGTAGGAACAATACTGCCCGGGCAAAACAAAAAGTCAATGTTTCATAGAAAACTCCAAAACTAATGATAGAGAAATTATTCTCACATACCAATGACTGAGTTTTCCAAATTATCCCAATTCGCATAGTTGTCTCCAAGCCAGTGTCCCCCCCACCGACCAGCAGTGGGATATGTGGACCGAGAGATCACAATCCCTCTCTTGCCTGTTGTCTTCTGCAATGCACTAGTAGAGATGAAGATATATTTTGAAATTTTGCTTGAGTAATTTTCTTTAAATATTTCTACTTAAGACCACTTCATGGAAACACTGGTGGATAGGCTTTTATTGCTACAGTTAGGTCTGCACAGCTGAGTCTTCACTCACTAGGCACTAAAATCCTCACAGGGATTAAAGACAATGTTATTCCATCCAACACAGACCACAGTTACAAGCGCTTCTTAAGTGGAATTTTCAAATGTTAATCTTTCACTGAATGTAAATTAACTATTTAGTAGCAGCAACTCAAATGATTAATCTAAAAGAACGTTCTATTCTACTTAAACATGTAACTTCTAATAAAAATCTAAGTTGAATTAATCTCTCCAAGTCTTTTCAGTTATAATTCATCCACATGTAAGATATGCATTATTCTGCAAGAAAGATCTGTTAAAACATCCCTGACTTTACAGAACAGTTTAAAGACTGGAAGTATATAATGAATCTTTTTATTTTTTAGGAAAAAAATCTTCATATTTTTGCATAGAAATTATTCCAAGTCAAATCTCATCAAGAAAATGTAATGCACAATTGTGATATATTTAGTCTTCTTATCCTTTTCCATATTTACAGAATGGCTTTAATGAGTTATGTATATTAAATCATTTTCAGTTTTAAATAGTGCATTATTTGCAGTACATGTATTTCTTTCCCTCTAATTTTCTTCTCTTTCTCCCTTTATATGTTTTCTCTCCTACCTTTCTATCTGTGTGACTAGAAAAATTTATAAAATAAATTAACATCACCATATTAATTAGGATAAAATTTATTGTTAGTCAAAAGTTCTGTTATATGAATGCAAACTACAAAACTAGCTCAGAACAAGGTACTGCAAATAACAATTAGGTAGATTTGAATATTAAGTTCATCATCAGTAACAGAAAACTTTCTGTCACAGCAAGGAATACAGTGCTTTTTGTGATCTGTTTAGAAATAACATTTTCACCACCCTACAATGAAATTCTTATGTCAAATTTTGTGTTTTAGCAATTTTTGTGCTCCTACAGCTAACAGAATATTTTGCATGTAAAATTATCTCAAGATATTTCAAATTAAAATATAGGAAATACTATATATACGAAAAACAAAACAATGATATATTGAATCACATTTTGATAATGGAGTTAATATTTTAATTGTATTCAAGTAATGATTAGAATTTATTTCCAGCTTGTCTGAATCTAGAATTTCCTGGGATATGGGGCTGTGAGCATGACAATGGGAGATTATCTTGATTACATTCATAATCAAATTCAGTAGCAGATTTATTAAAGTTTTAATATCCTGATTAGTAACACCGAAGTATGTTACTTATTAATTTATAAATTTCACCCTATTTAATGAGTACTGTGTAAGGTAAGTACATGGTGTGGAACAAAATTAAAAATGTAGCAACTTGAGAAAATAAAAGCAATAAGAACATAATGACCATTGATAAATCATAAATTGATGACAGAAAGATAGGTAGACAGGGAGAGAAGTGCTTATTATCCAAGAATTAAGAAAGAAGAAGTAAATGTAAAAGAACAATTGCAAAGGAAAGAACTACCAGAGAAGCTCAGCAAGACTGGAAATAGGAAACACTGAATTCAGTATATTAAACATAAACCAGAAAGCTGGAGAGGAAAACTGCAAATACAACTTACTCCAGAGTGGGTTTTATCTGTGACCATCCATACAAATTGTGAACATCGTAATGCAAAACTGATGATCCATCACTAAGAATCTGCTCAGTTTCCATGCACATAGTTCTGAAATGTAGCCCCTCATATCTTTTTGTAAGGTCTGGGGAAAATCAGTGAAAATATATTAATATAGTGTGGACAACTTCACTAGAAATGTATAGTTCATATCTCTATACACTTTTAATTTTAAAATTTTACTTAATTTCTTATTAATTATCTTATATATAATGAAGTGCCACATGATGTTTTAATCCACTCATATATTCTTTTGATAACCAAGTTATGAAATTTAACATAATAATTAATTTAGTCATTTGTGAACTTGTTTATTATTTTAAATGTCCACAGTGACCTATAAGAATAGAATTCCATGCATTTATAAAAAATATTTAAACAGTAAAACATTCAAACCAAAGTTACTGATTAATTATATTTTTATTAAAACTGATTAATAAATCCTAGAAACAAGAGTAACTGAAATGCTGTTGTTTTCTTCCACCTTCTGTCAGTATTAGTGGTCATTTGCTGTTACATATTGGGTTAATTCACCATGTCAAGGATGAACATAGAAATGATATTTTTCTTCGATTTGTCCCCACTAAGTAATTACTATAAGGCCCGTTGTGGGTGGTGCACCCCTTCAGTCCCAGCACTAGAGAGGCAGAGGCAGGTCGAAGTGTATGAGATGGAGGCCAGCCTGGTCTGCATATATGGTGAGTTCCAGTTCGGGCAAGACTACAAAGATATCATGTCTCCAAAATAAACAAATGCCTGAAAGTAATTGCAAATATATTACTAAATAAAAAAAGTTTTTAAAGTATGTATTTAACTTGGAAAAGTCTTACAAAGACCACAGAAATTTTTTAAAATAAATTTAGAATTGTAATTCTAAGAATATAACACATTTACACTTTTAAATTTTTCTCTCAAAATAGTATTAAATTATTGGAAATAGTTCAAGAGTGTCTTTGTATGTGAGTGACTAGGAAAAATTTAGAATACACATCATATATACTGCAACCTGAGCATAGCAAGAGACAGAGAGATAGCTCAGTGATTAAGTACACTAACCGCTCTTGAGCGAACCCAGGATTGATTCCTAGCACCCACATGGTGGCTAACAACCATCTGTAACTCCAGTTCCAGGAATCTGAGGCCTTCATCTGATCTCTGCAGACATTGCACAACATGGGTACACTTAAACACATGCAGGCAATATGCTCATACAATAAAATAAAATAATAAATATTTTTTAAAAAGCATAACCATAGCACTGTACCTGGTAAGTAAGGTGGATAATTCAGTTTATCATTTCTGCACACATTAGTGGTTGTTCCATTTACAAAGCTCGATGGTTCATTCATATCCTTAAGGAGAGAGGAAAAGACTTTTAAATTTTTTATGACATATATGATATAAAGAACTGCTTTGGAAACCCTGATTGATAGTTTTTGTTTCTAATTCCAGGACTTGGGAGGTGGAGACAGGAGGATTATCAAGATGTTGAGGCATACTGCTTTACAGAGGATGTAGCGTGTGCCAGGACAAATAACTTGGAGTGTTGAAATGCAAGTAAATTAAAATGGTTTTCAAAAACATTTGATTTACTCCATATTCCAATTTATGAGCTATCTCAGTGGTATGAATTTGACCTCTAGAAGTGTGGTTTTCTTGGAGCGTGGTTGTGGTGAGACACACCCTCAGTCCAGCACTCCAGAGGCAGAGGCAGGTGAATTGCAATGAGATAAAGGCCAACCTGGGATGATCTACAAGGTGAGTTCCAGGCCAGCTTGGACTACAGAGTGAGACCCTATCTCAAACAAACAAAACAAACAAAACAAACAAAACTGTAGTTTAGCTTAGCATATTTACAGCAAATTTATTATCTATGCATCCATTTGAGAAACATAAAATATTAGGTTCCCAATGTAGTGTGTGTATATTATATATG